AAGTCAGCAGCAATGGTACTCAATGTAAACAAAACGAACTGAAAGTAAACACACTGGATTGCTTACCTGTCAAGAAGTCACTGTTGGCAAAAGGGCAAACACACCTGCATGTGCTTTTTATTTCATTCATCCTGGGGCCTGCTATCACCTGGCAGGGTACCAGGCTGTAGTTCAGAAGCTCAGCTACTTCCAGAAGCCTGGTAATCTCCTTCAGCTGATATTCCTCTTTTTTTCTTCCGAAGTTATTCCACTAACAGGTAAATAGGTGTATACTCCTTTAATATCTACATTTACGTTGTATTGGTTACAAGGGATAACTTCTTTCAAAATATCCCACATGTGGTATGCAAAACTGCATAGACTTAACATAAACCCCAAATAAAACAGGTCCTTGCAAAGGGTACTAAAGAAACAGGACTCCCCCTCTCATTACTAAATGGGTACGATGTGCATTTCCCCCTCTTCTGTTTCCAAGCATCTAATACTATTTCCACTGTTTCCACTAATCCCAGTCCTAAAGCAGAGGTGCTGTTTCTCCAAGTATGATGCATAGAGATGGATGCAAAAGGGCAGAGCAGGCTGGTAACAAGAAAGGCTTCAGTGGTACACATTTCTCTCTTGTTTCACTGGTGTGCCTCAGCTGGAGGGCTTCCCATTCCAGTAGGAACAGCAAAGATTTGTCTGGCTTAATGTGAGCAGAAGGGAGAATTATAAGTAAGCACTTGACCGTTCAGACCTTGCCTCCATGCTTTTTTTAAAAAATGTATTTCAGAGTTTCGTTACATATTTACTCAGAAAATACGTTCACACCCCTCTAGAGAACTGGCAGGGGAAAAAAAAAAAGCAACCAACCTACAAATGTTCTTTCTCATGTACAGCCTCCTCCTGGCCATTGCCCATTGAGTCTGTACTTATTCTATATCACAGACCAGAGTAAGCAGGTTACTTCTAAATCATTCATAAGCCCACAAAATATCACAGTGTGAGCTGGCTGTAACAGAAGCTTGGCTGAACATGACAGGGTACAAGATTGCTGCAAAGATGCCAAAATCACATTGTTGCAAACAACACTGCCTGAATAGCCTGAATTTACTAGGCAGTTTTTGAATGCATGTCAAAAATTATTCCATTTGCACAGTAACAGGTGTGTATTTTGCCTTTAATAGCTACTTAATCCCAAAAATCAATTACAATGAAAACTCATTCACAAAAATACCTTTTCCTACTCCCCACAATATGCAAAACTGCATAAGCAGGCATGTTGGGATGACAGTGGAAACCACCTCTCCCAGCGTTCAAGACATAACTGAAGTAGCAAACAAGTCTGGAAGATGATGTGGTTCAGAAGACTCATGCAGAGCCATTAAGCCTGAATTGACACATCATACTTTTGGTTTTACCTCGTCAAAAGAAGTCTGAAAGGATGTTCTGGACACATTCTGCATGTTAATATTGTTTCCAGCATCTGTCAGAATAAAACTCCCGAGTCATCGCAGCTGTAAAGCTGGCTGGAGCTTCAGGTTTGGAAACAGGTTTTTTGAATTATGGGTTTCATGTCCATAGCTCTGCTGACACTATGGATGTTATGTATTGATCTGCTGCTCTTACAGCATCTACTGACCCAGATGTCTGTCAAAGCAGCTCTGCACAGTGAGTGACCATCCATCGAAACTAGGGCAGGTTTTCTCCTTGTTGCCTCATGCTGTGTGTGCTGCCAGGGAAGGAGCAAACAAGTAAACCTAAGAACAGGATTTAGAAGTGCTAAGAAGGTTTTAGAGCCATGTGTGGAAGTGTTGCCTCTCTTAGCATGTCCTGTGCAGCAGGCTTTGACATCCTTGGGTCTTCAGAACTGTTTCCTTCAAATCTCACACCAGGACCGAGAACAGGCTGGGGAAGCCTTACTTATGCTTTACTTCATTTTACTGTTTTTTTTTTTCCTACACCAAAAGAAGACAAATTTCCCCTGTCAAATAATCAACATCATCATCCTATGCACTAAAACAGCCTTTCCCTCCCTCCATTCATTAACCACAGTGTCACACTACCTCCCTCCCACTTCTAACTTTTTAAAGGGCTTGTGTGAAAACTATATTTTCATTGAGGCAGCAAAAGCTGTTGCTTTCAGCCTCTCCTTGTGGTTGAAGTTGTTAATGCTCTTGATGTGTGTGGGATCAGGATGCATTGAGCTTTTCTGCTGTGGTGGCTAGGAAGCATCTAGGAAGGCTCCCTATTTTCTTTCATCTCCTCTTTTAAACTGCAAAAATTATCAAGGAGTAGAAGCACAGACGAGTATTTTGATATTCATTTTGGTCTGAATGCTGAGGAAGTAGTTAAAAGCCGAAGCTGCAACCTAAGCAACTCAGAGAAACTCAAAGAAGATACAGGAGAGCCAGAGACAGTTAAATAGGCACTTAATTGCTAAAAAAATTAACAAAGCCACTGAAGAAATTCAACATGTTTGTGAAATAAACACAGAACCCAATACAGAGTCCCTCATGTTTGCATTTCCCATACATAATGCTGTTGGGAAGTATGCAAAGGTGGCAGGCTGAGCACAGAAGTATTCCCTCAGATACTCTTGATATATCAGACTCACTCCTTATACAGGGCTGTTTTAGACACTACACACAGTTGAGGGAAAATATAATAAAAAGCCTGGGCTCCTATGAAGCAGTAGTTTGGCCAGAAATATGGGTTCCCATAATCATGACTCCCTTGTACATGAGACACAGCCCAGGAAAATGAATGGAGATACCTGCTTGGACAAGGGTCTAGTATTCAAGCTATAGCTTGCTTCTGTATATGACCTAAAAAGCTGAAAACTCAAAATGCCTTCACTTCCCACAATAGGAACAAAATAAAAATTCTGTGATTAACAAGTTTCCTAATTAGAAGAACTTAATTTACATCTTACGGTTATATTTGTTTGTTCCCTTGAATTATCAAAATACTGAGGTTACTGTCCAGCAAAGCCCTTCAAAAGATGCTTTCAGAGGTTCACAAAGACTGAAGAATACACTCAAAATCACTGGGAGCTCTGAGCATTTCAGACTATCATACCATTTTGGATACCTACTGCCTCAAAACCATTGATTTCTGCACACATCAACCGTGGAATTCTGCACTTATTTCTCAGACCCCTCCAAACCCACCAACATTTATACAGCAAAGTGCTTTGTAGCAACACAAATACGTATAAAATCTCATTTACAGATCACAATTTCTCTGAATGAAGCAGTGTTTAACATTTGAATTGCTAGATGGTAATTAAACTGCTCTATCCATCACTACTGGTTAGAAATGTTCGTTCTGAATTAAATGTGAGGTTTCACAGTGGTTTGCTCTCTCCATGGCATAATCCCAAGGGAACAGGCAGCCTAAAGGAGTGGGAAGAAGTGCCTTGCTGATATTAAAAGGTTTGTGCTCTGAAAGCATAAAACTGCTGAGTGAACATGCACTGCTAAAACTCCCAGTTTTAACACCCAGTTAAAAAGGCAGATTGTTGGTAGCAAATTAGCAAAGTAGTCCCTATGTTATCAAACATCTAATAAGGCACTGTCTTTGACATATAAAAAACTGTTTTGTTTCCTTGTCAGACATTTTTCATGTGTCATATCCTTTTAATATTAGTACTAAAAAATAAGCCTCACTGCTCAAATCCTAAAGAAAACATTTTGAATGGAACACTGCATTTTACTACTGTTTTCATTTAAACCACTGAATATTTTGAAGTAAACATTTTCATCTGAGGAACCCCAGATGAGATCTTCTTTTGATTTCTTATAACTGCCAACAAACTGAAAAATCAAAAACTGCACAACATAGGGGTGAAGCTCCCTACGGTGCTTTAAACCACCAAGGAAATTCCAGCAAAAAGGGAAATACCTGCCTCGGCCCCAGATTTCACAGACTGTAACACAGAAATCATAAAGGTTACTTCAGCAAAGTTAAAGGGTAAAATACAACTCAAGTTGTACTGGCTTGTTAAGTCATTAGTAGCTAATTTAGGAACTATGAAAAAAGACAGATACAACCCTAGATTATTCTGTTTATCCTTTCAGTGTATGGAAGGGATTTCCTTCCCCCCCCACCCCCCAAGTATCTCCAAAGATGCCTCTGAGCACACTGACCACATTCAAACTTAACTTGTCTGGCTCCTTCTAAACAACAGCCACACAGTAATCCAGATTCAAAAAAACTCCCAACTGTGAAGCCACCTCTTTTTTTTTTCCTCAGAGATGAACTATGGGTCCTTCCACTACGACCTCAGCATGCCAAACTCCACAGAGTCAGAAAACTCTCAGAGCTGATGCCTCTTTCTGGGCAAAAGCCCACCATGTGCTGAATGCTAGAATAAGGATTGCAGAGAGGATGAATACTGGCTTCCTATTTTGGTAATTAGCAGGGAAACAGAGGTGCAGGTTGCTGCCACAATGCTTTTAATGGAATCAGACCTAATTTCCATGAGAAAAGACAGGGACTAATTTTTAAATATGAATTTCCAAGACCTTTTAAAAAGTTTCCTACTCCTGTACTTAAAAGTGAGAGGTAGCTTCACATCTCCACTCTTCAGGCTAGGTATGGATGCTGAAAGTGTGGGGAAGAGGGAATTCTGAGTAAGAGAATATGCCAAGCCTTTGGAGATCTGGGCTTGGCATTTAATGACAGGCAGTGAGTGAGACAGACAATTTCTCCCCTAAAGCTCTGTATATGTGTTGAATGATGTAGTCATGACGCTGGTGTGCTGGCTGAAGTGCTTCCTAGAGGGAGAAAGCAATTGAGAATCATTGTTTTTTTCACTGGATAAGACAAGAATCCATTTTTTAGTGACTGCTATGGCAGTTGAAGTCTTCAGTTTAGGATTTATCACTTACTGACCCGTTTCTGAATAAGACCATGCTTATGCAGACAGGCATAAAGAATATATATTAAATGTAAAAATGTACATAGACACATAACCAACACACAGAAGTAATATTTGTGAGGGCATTTACAATAAATGGCACTTAATAAATTTATTAAGAATTTAATCTTTTCTTTTCTGAAAAATGAATAGGATTCATTCTTCCCTTGTATGCAGAGGAAAAGTAAACTGATGGCAAAAATCAAGATTACTTTCTTATTTCATTACTGTCTTTGTAGCCACAAAGATACAACGATTTAACAGACAAGAAATACTGTTTATTGCAGACTTTAAGCTGATTCATGTGAAAAAGGCACTATGAAACTCAATCAAACTAGATGATTAAATTTGTCTAAATTAAGTGATATTATATATTATATATAATAAATATATTATATATAAAATCACATGACCATAACAGAGCATTTTGTGACAAAAATCATTTCATCTTCAAAAATAACATTTTCTGGAAAGGATGTTTCCTCTTCTTTTCCCCCCTTTTGCCTCCAGGAATCCACTTTCCCAAAAGATTACATTTATAAAAGAACAATAGTTTTTTTTACATGAGGAAAAACTGATATCTGGGATCAACACACAGAGAAGTCTAGATTATACACTGTTCTTTTGATGGGTTAAGTTACAGGCAAAAAAAAAAATGCAAGTATATTAAAAAAAAATGTACTGTGAGTTGTTGCATGGCCAGCTACAGCAGATCTCATCACCTCTTTGAGCTGAGTTGTGTTACTATATTCTAGTTATTCCTTCTTGTGCAATATTATAGTTCATCACGGGTGAAGTATTGATAAAATCAATGTACAGAGTATTATTTTGTTATAAACAGCATCATTAGTAATAAAACATCTTGGGAGTGATGCAAGAAAGGTTCAGTCTATGCTGGGCTGCTGTTCATTCTCTAAAGATTTCCTCTCCAATTGCTGGCATCAACAACTTAAGTAAATGTCCTGCAGCCGAATGCATGACAAGAAAGACTGAGCCAAAAAGACATAATTGCACACTACAGCAAGAGATGGGATTCAGAATCTTATAATTACTGAAGGGGTCAAATGCTTTTTTTTATTGCTGGCTCAGCTTCCCTCAGATGAATCACAAAGATGTGCTACAATTTGTCTGTCATGTTAATTCCATAAAGCCAAGACTCATCTGTGGGTGTAAATGAATCATGTGCCAATATTTTCACCTGCCAGGAAGCTCCACTGAATTTCTCATCTGTTTATTTTTCGTGATGAGAAGGCAGCAGCAGGTACTCCTGTGGAGACTACTGTAAATTTTCTTTGTGTTGGCTAGTTAAGTTACAATATAGTAAGACATTCCCCTTCACTGCTTCCTAAAGCAAAGCTGGATGGTATGATGCTATGGGCAATGGAATTAAAGAAAAGAAGAAACACATTTAGTGGCTGCTCCCTTCATCAAAGGACTCCACACCTGAATCTGTGGCAGCTGCACTGATTTTTTCCTGTCGTCTTCTCATAATTTCTTGCAGTTCTGAACTACCACTGTTTGCCTATAAACAAAAAAGAAAAAGAGTTTATTTGTGGTTTTGGCACGTGATGACATTCCTCTTACAGCATTTTATTAATACAGGTTTTTGAACAAATTAAACTCACCTTGCGGCTCCAATAAGAAAGTATTTACACTACCCTTAAATACAGACCAGAAAAAAGCCTGCAGATTAAAAGTCTGAGCTCGCCCTTCAGCACTGCTGAGCATCTTTAATTCTCACATGAGGCCCTGGAAGTGTTGGATATGTATGGGGTGAAATATGGCTTCAGCAAAAGCAGGGTTAAAGGTCAGCAAGTTTGCTTGGGTTCCACCTCTGAGTACTTAAAAACCAGGGCAATAATATTTAGAAATTAAAAACCTGAAAGTAAATCCTTGATGGGTTTAGATTTATGTAAATGCAGAGCTCACACAAACACGTGGGATTGCATAGCCAAGGGCTAAGCAAGGATTCAATCCCAGTCACTCACATTACATGATACACCATCATGCATTTGCTGCTCAGAGACACAGGTTTCAAACTTGTAGCACAGTACTTAGAATTGAACCATATCACAGTATTAGGAAGAGTGAAGTATTGTGAGGACAAGGCTTTATTTCACCTTTTAAGAGTGAAAAACAGGTCTGCTGACAGATTGCTTTGACAACATAAATGAAGTTATTAGCAGGGCCAGGACACATATCCAATAGAGCAGAACTTCCCAAAGTGTGCATGACTTTGAATAAAACCAGGGGATTATAAAGCAAGAGCCATATCTGCTACTGTATTATTTGGCTATGACATGACCTTCAAAACTTCAAAGCTTCCAAAATAGCCTCTGAATAAGGAAGCAGAACCTGTTTTTGAAATCTGTAAAAGAAATTCCAAGACTGTTAAGGGGAAAATCCTTCAGCTGATTCTGAACACTGAAAACGTATCCTATTACATACATTTTAATTTAGATTTATCCCATTATATCCATTACAGTGCATTATCTGGTGCCATTGACCTGGCCAGACAGGTTAGGTGTCCACAGGGAGGGAGGCTACAACGTTCCTTCTATTTAAATTACCATTGCTCTCTTCTCCCAGAGTGTATTGGGCAGAGCAGGGGACTTATAAGTGATTTTCTGAAGGTGAGAAAGCAGTTTTATTTGTCTTAATTCATTCTGTCTTTGCCCTTTTGGTTTTAGATACAGAGCAAGTGCAGCAGTCACCCACTGCTGAAGTCATGCATAAAAAAAACATCATCAGATACCCGACAACGTGCTTTATCAGGGGTCAGGTAGAAATATTTTTCTGAAAACAACTGAGCAGCCCAAGCTGAAAGAGTTTGCCCTCCTGATAACATCAGTGACAACATGACTGATGAGCTTGAAAAGCTGCTTGACTAAACCAGCTGCAAGACACACGTGGCACAGCACAACAGGCACATCCTACTCAGAGGTGAGGGACTTGCAAAGCAGCCCAGGGCTGTTCTTAGGAATACAACTTTTGGAACAGACTGCTAGACCTTGGCCCACAGTGATTTACCCAGCTTAGTCTCTAACCAGATCATGAGGTAAACTCCATCAGTCAATCCCAGTTCTGGGATTGTGCCTGGGTCATTCCTTTCACCAAGGTGTCAAAGAGAATAAGTTGTTCTTCCAGGCAATTTGATACGTGTATTAGACAGAAACCATTTTCACTTTTAAAGTGCCTGTGCTTCCCACTGGTGGAGCACAAAGAGGTTCAGAATGTGGAACTCAAGTGTTCCTTTCTGGAGAGGACAGAAGTGGTGTTCAGGATATTGTGTATCTACACTTATCTTCTCGAGCACTTTTCAACACCAGAGCCTGAAATGCTCAGCAGCACTTAAGGAAATGGACACATAAAACCCCTATAATCATGGAGGTTTCTTAATATTTTCAACTTGCAAGGAAAAAGTAAACCCATGTAAAGCAGAAGCAAATCTGACCAGCCAAGCTGCTGCAATGTCCTGTACTTGGCACATAAAGTCAACTTCAGCTCTCTGGAGCAGCCCCAGGAAGAGTTCCCAAGAGGAATCCTGTGATCAGGACACAGAGCATGGTACATCCTGCCCCCTGCCAGGACACTCCTGCTGGCCACCACCACTTCCTCTGGCAGAAAGGATGTGTTTGGCCTTGGCTATGACCAACTCTCTGCTGTCTTGACACACTGGTCTCACACAGAGTTATCTGTCAGCTTTTGCTTGGCCAGGCCCAGAAAGCTCTTAAACCCCAAAACACCTTCCCTGCACTTGCAGTCTGTTACTTGGGGCCACCCAACTCCACTGGGAGTTCCTTGGATGCTTTACACTCTGGTGTGATTCAGGGTTGAATGGAGTTACCACGAAAATAAAGTATAACAATTGAAAGTGTGGTACCTATTAATTTCCTTCCTCGTAGGGGTAAAATTATTACATTCCAACAACAACTGCAATTCCAATTATAAAATTATAAAATTCTTCTGCCTGAGGTAGAAAAACACTAAAAAGAAACTGGGAAGATCTGTTTTTTTGTATCTGGGAATGCAGCCCCAAAGCTGAGAGTAAGGCCTAGGTTGCAGAAATGGTTTGAATCCAGAAACACTTGTGGAAGATCCCAAGTAGAAATTACAAAGAAAGACAAGGCATAGAGTTCTGTAGTGCCAGAGAGTGTGTGGGTTTGCTCTGCCTCCGGCTCTTATTGCTATTTGTATTTAATACGCAGGGCATTTACTGCAATATGACACCACAAGTGATACACAAAGGATGCCAGAGAACTTCCATGAAAATTTGGCACTCGTTAATCATGTAGGACAATTATGGTGGTCAAACCCATAGCCCTGTTACTGCTTATAAAAAGCATTCAGTTGTAAAATAGGCCTGACACTGGTACAAGCATGCATGTGCTTAAATGCTTCTGTTATTAGAAGTGTTTCCAATCTGAGCAATAAGAACATAGCCCTGTTTGGAACATGAAAGCTCATCTTTGCTGGGTCACATGTAGACATTTTGTTGTGATACTCATTCCCATAGCCTCTCTTAAACAAGAACAGCCTTCCTAAACCCTGTGATTTGAAATATTATAGGGAGAGAAATGAAGATGCAATTCCTTTGAAGATAAAATTCAACAAACAAACAACAGGCTAAAGCCACCAGGAATTGCATAAATTCTGAAATCCATCAGTTAAACCTCAAATATCAAGGCAGAAATAAATATTTCAATTACCTTTTCACTAACAAAATTGAATGACCTTGTTAAACTGTCAGCACCCTTTTATTAATACTTGTAGAGGACCTATTACACAAGTTTGGACTTTCAGTTTCCTGCAGAGTGAGACCTAACTGAGGCAAGCAGAATAACAGCATGGAGGGGAAAAAAGGACAGATCCCTCCAATCCAGTGCATCTCTGCTTTCCAAACTAACTTCCACTACAAAGGCACTTCCATCTCAGTACACAGCAGTCTTATAAAAATGAAATAAGATTGTTAACATTAAAAAAAAATTGAAGAATACGCATATATTTTCACTAGGAAATAATGGACTGCTCTGGGCTGTAGTGACTTATAATTCTAAGAATGAAGGTGAAATATTTCTCCCTTCCCCTCATAGGAAAATAGGGCTTGAAGAAAGGAATAAAGCAATTTTAACAACGTTAGAAAGTGGTGCTCTCTGATCCACACTGATCAGGCAAATTGTAAAATATGCATCATCTTAAATCTACCTTTAAAACTGTGCCTGGCAGTGAATGCTTATAATCATTTAAGCAAGACAGTCTCAGCTTTGTAAGAGGATAGAAAAACATTTCAAACTTCAAGATTTTCTTTTAAATGGGATATGAAGAATACAGCTTCTCATTTGGGTTAATCTCACCTCTAGACATTATCAAGTCCATTTCTCCACTTGCCACAGCAAGTTTTAAAAGAAGTAGGTGCATCTCCAAATCTACTGGTTTAAAAGTTGGCAAGCACTGTCCTCAGCACAGCTCTGTATACAAGCTTTTAAGGTGTTTAAGAAACAATACCACTGTAATTAAAGCAAACTTCTGCAGAGCAATAAGTACAGAGATATAACACTTTACTCAGTAACTCTGGTAGCACAGTGTCCAAAGTGTTTGCTGCTCTTAGAAACCTTCCAATGCAGGTGCCACAAGGTTTGACCTGTAAGGCCTTGAGATTCAACAGTGAGCTCTACCACCTTCTCATGCCTAATAGATGAAATCTCCCCTAAAAAGACAAAGCAAAACTAACACAACACCACCAAATGTACCAGGACTACCTGTTTGCCCAAGTACCAGGCAAAGCAAGAAGAAAAAGAAAGGGCATTTTACTCTCTCCTGTTGTTTCCCCCAGAGCTCTTTTTAGTTTATTTTGACTTCTTGCAGTCTGGTTACAGCACAAAATGCATTAAACCCGAGTACTATTTCTAATGCTTTTTGGACCCCTGTTTCAATGAATTAATACCAAATAACTCAGACAGAAATAATGTTTATTGACGTGATGGGGACTGAGGATAAACCATCTACTTCACAGAAATAATTATTTACTTGTACAGATTCAAAACTGGTGACCCAGCTTAGGTCAGTAAGAAGGGTTATCCATACCTCCAAGGCAGACTTCTGTACCGTGATTTGGCTGTAGACTCTCGACCCTTCTGGGCAAACAGTCCTCAGTTCCTCTTTATTGAGGGAGAAGAGCTGAGCACCTGTCAGCACACCAAGGCTGTTGACAGTCCTGGGGTCACACCAAGGGAACAAACAAGAAATGAGCAAAAATACACCAGCCAAGAGAGAGAAGCAGGTTGTCTTCACCCCACATTGCTTCAGGTAGGGCTACTAAACTAAGAAAAACTTTTATATAACTGGACTCCTGAAGTCAACTGAGTATCTGTTATGAGTACCACCTTTTGGTGGAGGCTAATAAATATCTATACTTCTGTAGATCTATAACCACATTGACATCTATTTTTATTTTTATGTATATTAGGTACACTTATATATATACAAATATATATGTATATGTGTGTATATATATATATAGGTAAAAACAAAGTATTTTTTCCAAGAGTGCAGCTGACATTTCTTGGCTGCTCGATTTTAAAAAAGTGGTCAGACCACATCCTACCTACTGACAGGAGAATAATTTAAATTAGTCTTCGTTACGTTTGCCCTCAAACTTACACAGGGTTGAATCCTTTGGACTGCAACCACGCTTTCACATCATCAGGGGAGGAGTCATAAGTGATGTTGACCACTGGGATGTTGGGTCGTGGCACGTGGAACTTCCTCTGGGCAGCGCTCCGGCCGATGGTGAGGCGGTGAACAAGTTCATCCTGCACCTCCTCCATCTGGGATTTCCTGCCTAAAGACAGAGGTCCCACAGGAGTTATTCTCAAAGTTGTTTTATCAAAGCCAGGTCTCTTCTTATACTCCACTGTAAACCTTAAACTTTCTTTTTTTTCTTTAGAGATTCATTTGCTAGATCTGATTGAATTATTGTTGTCCTTTTCCCCCCCCAAGGAATATTTCAAGATTCCCAATCCTCTCTTCATGAAAGAACACAAATGCAAAAAATAAAAACCCAAACAGAATTCAACTGACACCCTAAAAAGGAGACATGAGCTGGATGTCACACAGAGGTGTAGATCAGTCTGACAGCACCCAAGCTACAGAAGAAAATGGGCATGGAGAGTTATTCAATTGTCGTGCTCTGCCTTTCTTCAACTACAAGTGTCATGTTTTAAAAATGAAAACAAACAAAAAAAAAGGATGAGGGAGTTTATAAGATTGCTTACACTGTGGAAAGGTAGTACTTTCCACAAACATTTTTTTCAATTGAAAGTCCAAGTGTTTAATGCAAATCAACATAGGGAAAAATATTTCCCAGCTGCTGACACATATCACTCATTACATTCATTACATTAATGAGTTATTACAGTAGTCACATTTTTGAAGGGATTTTAAGAAATTTGAATTCACTCCAAGCCTGGAGCGACTGGTTAGCTGAAATATTGTCACATTTTCCATTAAAAAAGGGAAAGAAAATAAAAAGGTACTTGGTCTCATAGGCAAGAGCTTGTTTGTTTGTTTGTTTATTTTAAAGAAAACTGTATGAATTCCCTATTCCCCAGAACTCATTTGTCTGAAGCGTTTAGCTCAGTGGCTGGTCATTAGCAGGCAACAAACTGAAATGTTTTTCCAGCCATTTCAACAAAATCAATTATAATGACACTGAAAATTGTTTAAAATGCATATAGAAATTTGTATGGAGACCTTCACCAAAATAGGTAGCATCCAAAAGGTGCATCTCAAAAATACTTTTTTGAGCTCACAGAAGACACTGATTTAGCACAGCTGACCACTCTGTGCTGAAACTCTGGAACAACTATAAAAATCCTTTGACAAGCAACACAAATTATCTCAAAAATTCTCAGGATTTCCTTGCCAAGATATTTTTAGCAATCTTAATTCAACCTTCTCACTCTGATACACAAACAGTAACTACAGTACCTTCTCTGATGCACTCACATGGCAAAAGCTATTCCTTTTCTCCCATTACACTGATAAGAACAGAAGAAAACAACACAACTTCAATATGAAAAAAATGTAAGATAGCAAAAATGTTTCCTTTTATATTCTCTCAAAACCTCTCCAGGGATCAACATCTCTAGGCAGTTACACAAATAAAAACAAGCTTTACATAGGCCTCTAGGATTTATTATTTTGAATCACCACAGCAAAAAAAAAGAAAAAACTTTGGTTTAGCCATTTTCTTCTTCCTTTTACAAAGTAGCCCCAGGTTCAAAGTGGACAAAATATCTCTAGTATAACATTTCAGGCATTCAGGCCCTACTGTGTAGGGTTTCCCCCTCCCCAGAGTGTGAATCAGAAACCCAAGTGACATGTGCTCAGTGATACACATGAAAATCTGAAATGGGTTATACAAGTAAAGCCTTCAGGCAATGTTATTGAAGCATGCACCCATTATTTTCCCAAGCAGGAAGAGAGAGAGAACATTGCTATCTTCCTTCTGTTTACACAGATTTTGAAAGACTTACGCTTTATCTGGACCAAGACTGTATCAAAAGACAAATATTTAGCTGTTGGATAACAGGTTGTTGCTGCTGTTAGATGTGCTACCAGAAATAAGCAGGACACTCCGGGGGTGGAGCAGGTTCTGCATCGTTCTCTGCAGGAGTCAGGTGGGTACTTGGGCAGCAGCTGCACGGGTGGGGTTTGCCCATCACCTTTGGGGAGGCACCTATTCTGCAAGGACTTGGAGGTACCTGCAGTCCATTAACTGGGCTTGAGTGACAGCTCTGGGAGGGTACAGGAGCTCGTGTGTGACCCACAGCCTCAGCAGGGCTGAGAGGGCAAGAGATGTCTTGTAACCACTTAGTCTACAGCAACCCTTCACAACTCACACCCTATGCCTGAAGCCAGGATGGTCTTCTCATTTTCCACAGATGGATAGAGAAGGCCATCATGGATTCAAGGACACAGACATGCTATGGCATGCAAAGTCCTTACATGGAAATAAAATTATCATCATTTTTGTGCACCTGTGTGCGTGTGAAATTCACTCTCACTTTCCACATATTTTGTTTGGGTTTCTGATTTTATTTAAGTAACAAACTGCCCAAAATAGGACTAAGGCAGAAGCTCTCCCTACTGTTTCTTTGGGAAACAGCAGTGAAGCCTGTTCCTCCTGCCAGGCTGTTCTTCATTTATAATTTCCAGCCAGACTGTCCTTTAGGTGAATATATTAAAAGGGTCCCAGAGCCTTCCTGAGTTCAGAGCTTAGGTAAGAGCTTGTCCTCAACCAGATGTGATTATCTACACAGGTATACTTCCCATCCACTGGAGACAGGGGAAAAAGAAGCCTTTTCCCAGAAAGGCTTATGCTCAATACCAGTTTCTAACCTTATGAGGAAGCAGGATTTTCTGATAAGGCAGGGAGGCAGAGGATGGGAAAAGCTGTCAAAAAGCTTGAACTACAAAAAGCTCATTATTTTAACAGCTATTTCTTTAAAAGCCACAGTAAATTCTTGACTATATGTTTCAGTTATTACAAAGCCAAACAATCACATTGCTTTTTAAGCAGTTTAGGACAGAAATTACTGACTACATAAGTTCTTCCAACCCAATCTGCTTTTCAGTCAAGCCTCAGCATTGGCTGGGCTTTGTATTTACAAGGTGGCCTTAATCAGAACTTTTCATGACAGCCACACACTGTTGGATGTGCATTACCAAGCTTTTCCAGCTAAAGAGCTACCTCATAAGACAAGGGCATGAAAGTTTCATGGCTTGCCAGTTGCTGCTCCTTTGACCAAGCCAGGGGGACCTCACCATAAGATGAGCCTCCAACAACACTATTACAACATGGTTCTATGCATCAGTCAGACCTGTAAGTCTTCTTGCAAGCCTTGGATACATGTTTTAGAATGGTGCAAGTGAACTATGGATGTTCGTGCACTGAAGTGTAAAAACACTTTTAAAAGCATTTAGGTTGTAACACAGCAGTGAGTTTAGGTGGAAAATGTACATCAGCCAGAATACCAGCATGTGCATTTCCAGTGTTGAAAGCCACTGACTATAGATTCCTGATATTCATAAAAGGAGAGGATTTAGGACTGGGACAAGTGTCGAAGTGTTCTGTCCCTACTCACCAATATGATCGTGGAGCGTCAGAACAAACGCAGAAAATCCGCATTTTAAACATGGGGTTAAAACTAAATCTTTCATTAAAATTTTATCTGAAACACAATTTTAAGGAATTCTAGGAGCGAGCAAAACACACGGGAACGGGAGAAATACTTTTGGTCTTGTTTCTTAGGCAAACTTACGATCCACAGGAATTTGCTTCTGCCTCTGAGTGTCTCGTGCCACACTCCCACCGCTGTCACTGGAGGTGCTGCTTTGGCGGCTGACGGCTGCTGGCGCCTTGGGCACGGGAACTGGAATAGGTGCTGGTGCACTGGGAGGGAGGGGGACAGCCACTGGGACAGGAGCAGGTGTGGGAGGTGGTGAAGGAGTAGCAGGAACCGGGTCAGACTGTTTTCCTACATAGTCCGTCCTTTGTTTCTGAAAAGATGCAGAGAGACTTTCAGTTCGACAGCAAAATCTTGACATCAAACTCGGGTTTCTGCTGGGATGCATTGCACCAACTGATGTCATTTATCACACAAAGGCATCTTACTTGCCAGATACAGTTCCAAAACTTGCCAAAACTTGATCTGGCATCAGTGTTTGCCACCAATTTCCTTCTCCGTGGGACACAAAGCTCACAGCAATGGAATCGTCTGAAATACGTTTCCTTCTTTTGAACAGATGAATTCTATACATGAAATCGTTTTTAAATCCCAAACCTCTATTACCTGGCACTTTTTAATAGCATTCAAAATTTCTGAATTATCAAATTTCATCAGTGTAAAAACGTGTATTTTAGAGACATTATGTAAAAAAAACCAGTGAAAAATGAATATACCCAGCCAAACCTAAGCCCAGCTAAGGTTTTACCTTAAAAATGTCAGTAGGATTAGGATAACACGTTGTTTCTTGAACTGCAGACAGTATTAAAGAGGTTCCTCCTCCTCCTCTCTATTCAATTGTGTCTTTTCAGCTGTCAGTGTGATCAATACATATGGCCTCAGTGTAATGATCCAATTAAAAAATACCCCAAATTCCACAATTCTTGGAATAGGGCTATTGTTTCTTTTCTCCCCAATTCACGCAAAGTTCTAAAACCATGCAAGTTATCTTACTGCTGATAACTAACTAGCAGGTGTCTCAAAAGTGATTTTGGGAATGAATTTCTTCTTCTTTGCTTTTAGAATGGCACCAGTTACAGGAAGGCACAAATATCTTCCCAAAGCAATCCCAATGACAGATAAGTCCATAAGCAATCTGTGCTACCCTTTTCTTTCAAACAGTTCACACCCCCTGTCTCACTGTTAAACAGTGTTCCCTCTCTGCAACTTGGGACTAACACAGCTTGAAAGTTCAATATTGAAGTTTGTTTGCCCAACAAGAAAGCCTCATTTCTTAGTTATGAGAAGTCTGTTTACTTTGGTATGAAGATAGATGAGTACATTCCCCAGATTCATTGCTACTTCCTGAAATACCTGTCCCTATTTCCTTGGAGGCAGAGGGTTTACAGCGGATCAAGGAGGGAAATATTTGTAGGAGCCATATGTTAGAATCTGAGTGGCAGATCACTGCCCTGACAACAATCAAACTTTCATTAAATGTCAACAACTGCCCTGCTACAGGAATCTCCAGCTCAGTTAGGTCCAGCTGATGGACAAGGCATTTTACTGTGATTGTAAACTGGGACCGTTGCAGCCAGACGAGTTACGCCAGCAGAAAACTCACCCCATCAGCTTCTGCAGCCAGACAATTAAGCCTGAGAAATCAGTCTTTTACTTCCCTTACATAATATTTCATTAATTGTAATAGTTACTGAAACAAACATTTTTGTTTGGTTGGTTTTATCTTAGCATTTAGTTGTTCAAAGGCATTCAGCTCTCAACTGTTTTGTGTCCACCTTGTGCGGTGCATTGTGGGGAGATAAAAGAAAATAACCATGACTTTTCTGTATGCTGCTATTTCAACGTTAAGACAATACTTTTTTAAAATGTCAAATGACAAGCAAAGTGCAATGCATAATATAATAAAAGAGAACAAGCAGAATAACTATATTTATGAAATTTGCCCTTTGGTGGGAAGAGAGCGCCCTACGAGGTATATAGCAAATATACCATCATTTATGATATATACATGTACTATGCTATATCCAAAAGCTTGGTAATGAATTTAAAAATTTCACAAATATTAAAGTGTTCTAATAATATTCACGTTTTTTAATCCTGTTCACAGATTCCAATTACTAGACTGTTATCCCCACAATGTACCTACATGTCCCTTGATCTACTCAAAAAAACATGCAAAGAAAAAGTAGGGCTTTTTAATGATAGAGAGGATTCATTACAAATCAAGGCATTCACTGCACATCACCACAGTCATAATCCAGAAAAAGTGACAGCTAAAAACCACATGTAGCTCTCAATGGATGCTACTGGAGTAGTTTCAAAGACATGTTGTACTGCACTCATAAGCTTCATCAAAACAACTTGCTGGAGTGAAAACAAAAATTACTCTGGAAGCATCACTCAAATTCTAAATTTACAGATGAAACCATAGTTTGCATTTTGCATTTTGTTGAACAGTGCCCAAAAGCCAATTATATATTTGAATCGCATTTAGCATTTCTTTTTTTTAACTCTTCTTTTTTTAACTCCAGATCTTTTGAGGACATCCACACATTCATCTCATCACTTCTATTCATTGCTACAAAAAGAACCAAACATGCATTATGGAATTGGTGACTACACAGTACAACAGATTAATTTTTGAGGTTCAATATCAGAAGAGTAATTCAGTTACCTCTGAAAGCTCTCCCAGTAATTGCTGTGAGGAAAATGGAGTAAATCACATCAAATAGTAATGCCAGAAAGGTAAAAAGTAACTGCCTCACACATCACTCCTGAAATTTCATGCACATTAGCAATTTAAAACAAAGGAACATCAGCGTTAATTATTACTCTTCTTACTCACTAAGAAACTCACATAGTGATTTATTCTCATATTCTTGTTTTGAATAAGGAAGAGAGTGCTGGCTCCAAAACAAACATACGTGGCACCATATAAGCAATCAGCTCTTTTCAAAGCCCCTACTTGGACAAAAACTTAGAAAGAGGTTTAATAAAATAAAAAATCCAGAGAAAAAAACTGACAATGGATTTAAGATCATCGGGTGCATGTAGAGAACACTTTCAACTGTAGAACAATAAGAGTTAAGTCACAGCAGGTATTAAGAAAAGCACTTATTTGTTTTAGCTCCAGAAATATTGGTTAGCTCAGAAAATGAGATAAAGGTCGCTGCTGTCAGATATGTACTAATAGAATGGGTTGGGTTGGGAGAGACCTTGACACTCCATCCAGTTCCAAACCCCTGTCCCAAGAGGGCACCTTCCCACTAGACCTCAACCTGGCCTTGAACACTTCCAGGGATAGGGCATCCACAACTTCTCTGGGCAACCTGTGCCTCAAATTTCTTCCCAAAATATAATCTAAACCTCTTCAAGATTAGAGCCACTATACCCTGTTCTATCACTGCATATCCTTGTAAACATCCCTCTCCAGTCCTCCTGTGGGCTCCCTTTAGGTACTGACAGGCAATTATAAGGTCCCCCCAGAGCCTTCTCTTCTCCAGGCTGAACAATCCCAATTCTCTCAGCCTTTCTTCATAGCAGAGCTGCTCCATCCCTCTGATCATCTTGGTGGCCTCCTCTGGACTTGCTCCAACAGGTCCATGTCCCTCCTGTGCTGAGGACCCCAGAGCTGGATGTAGCACTGCAAGTGGGATCAGGGCAGACTAGAGGGACTCACTGGAGCAGACCAGAGGGGCAGAATCACCTGCCTGGACAATTTGCTGACTAGCTACTCACTCATTTCCTCACAGCAACAAGAACAATGAACAATTCTGGGTTTTATTTTTCCTTCTTCCTCATATTTTTATTTCTTTTGAGAATAAACTTGCAATCATCAACTCATGTAAATTGGAACAAATCCTTGGAACTGTGATGATACACATACACTCGTTAAAAATCTGGATGTACCAGAAAAGCTTGCTGGGACTAAATTTTGTTTTCTTATTTCTTGCCAGAAAACCTTTGCTTTTACAGGGAAAAAAATGAACTCCCAAAGCTGTTTTCAACACACTACAGGCTGCATCTTGTAAAAAACCCCCAAGATTCAGTATGGTTCAACCTAATTTTTAATGAAAGCAAAATAATAAGTTTGAGTAAAAGTGCTAATGGTATCAATCCTAATTCTTCATCATTGTAAAAGACTGGGAACAACGTATTTTCAAATGCATTTTGGTATTAAAAAAGGAAATATGTATATTCAAACCATGGTAAATACTTAACATTAGAGAGGCATTGGAAACAGCCACAACTAGTGTTAGTGCTGGGAAATGTTCTCATTAAGTTAACACAGACACAGAACTTCCTGTTTACTCTCTTTCTGAACATTTTAGTGCCACATTCCTGGTGACAGGAGTCCACCAAGAGGGATGCAGAGCATTCAGCCTCAGTTTTGTCAACAGCATTGTGGTTTGGGTGTTTTCCTGAGACTCATTTGAAGAGAGAACCAACCACTTGTCTTCAGGCAAGAGGGCCAATGAGGTACCCAAGACTGGAAGTGCAAATTTGAAGTGAGGTCTTTTGCCAGAGTTTACTTTGGTGGGCTCAGCTGTTACACAAACAGCTGCCTATTAAAATCCCATTAAAAGTCACCAAAATAAATCTTTGAGGGGTGCACCACATTTGTGGTTTTACTGAATTTACAGGAAATTTAGACAGAATTTACTAATTCAAACTGTTATTAGCCAGGGTTTAATCCTCAGAAGGAAAGAAGGAAAGGACAAACTGGGGACTTTCAAGTCTTATCATTAATCAAATCCTTTTTACAAACACTCAGTACAGTTTTGTGTAATACATGGCATTCCATAATTTGGCATTGGATCAATTTTGAACTGGATAGGAAAGAACTTTTTCTTTTCTTTTTTAAAGCCCTCAATAAGTCTTGGTCTGATGGAAGCTTTAAAGAGAATTTGATATGAAATGAGATAAAAAGAGATACTGTCCCTTGGTCAAGAATTATGACATCTCATTGGCAAAACGAACACCTGGCACGTGCATCTCTTATCAAACACTTCATGATCTGCAGGAAGGATACCAGTTGGCAAAAGATGAGTATGACACTAACTTGGGGTCACAAATGCTGTGCTTGAGGGGAAACAACTTCCCACAGAGGTGTTTTTGGTGAGTTGATAAACAGAGAGACTCGAAAGAAATGTTTTTATGGTCGATCACCAAGAAAGGCAAAGGACACTTGTCCCAAATGAGGTGGAGACCTTTGTTTTGGTGTTTACCTACCTTAGACATGCTTCTTATGTACCCTGTCACTGTGGACAGTCATATTTTTTAAAAGTAAGACTACAAGACTGCATTTGACTTAACATTTACTCTTTATGCCTAAAGATTTCATACACATCACTGATAATACAACTGTCTCACCTCACAAAGGGTGTCAGGAGACTAACTAACATGCCCACCAAGATACACATCTCTATCCCAATTATGTTCTTCAAACTTTGTTTTCAAGAGTATTAAAAAAAAGGTAATAAAATGCACAGTAAATAGGAAATACTATGATGAATTATTTTATAGGTTCACCAGCAATACTTGCAGAAATTAAGAAATCAGAGTGCTTGAGAAACTGTTTATATTCATACACAATGGGATGGTGAAATACCACTGTTAGTTCAAAATTAAAAGGCAGATTAAACGACCAACACCACAGAAAACTCTTATAAACAATAACTAACATTAGTAGAAAATAGAAGAATTCAGCAAAATGTTCTCCTAAAAGTACGAAAGTACCAAACAAGCAAAAATACTGTTGCCTGGAACTAATTCAACTGACCAGAAGACATTGTTACAGCCTTCAGCTCACAAGGATGATGAAATATCTAGGATATTGCTGGCAATGTTCCTGCAAGTATCACCTTAGTGCTTTCATCTAACAATTTGAGACCTGGATCCTGAAAGGGACTGAGTGAAAAATCAAGGTCTAAACTAATGTGTGGGCTCAGAGGTCACTAGGAAAGGGAACACAGGGAGAGTAAAATAAACTTTGCATCTCTGAAAATAATTGTGATAATGAGGTATCCACCTCTCAGAGAAAGGGTGTCTGTCTGTAGCATAATCAAATGAAATAATTATGTCCTTCAGTGGAATCCTTAATCCTTCTTAGTAATCTGGAAACATCCTTTGGTGAGCAGTGCACTGACAGCCATTAACCTGTAAATAAAGACACCAACCTTGCACACAGCACTTATCATAGAATCATAGAATCAGCTGGGTTGGAAAGGACCTCTGAGATCATCAAGTCCAACCCTTGATCCACTACTGCCATGGTTACTAGACCATGGCACTGAGTGCCACATCCAGTCTCATCTTAAAAACCTTCAGGGACGGTGAATCCACCACTTCCCTGGGCAGCCCATTCCAATGTCTGATTACCCTCTCTGGAAAGAAATTCTTCCTAATATCCAACCTAAACCTCCCCTGGCAGAGCTTAAGGCCATGCCCTCTTGTCTTACTGATAGCTGCCTGGGAGAAGAGACCAACCCCCACCTGGCTACAGCCTCCTGTCAGGGAGTTGTAGAGAGTGATGAGGTCTCCCCTGAGCCTCCTCTTCTCCAGGCTGAACAGCCCCAGCTCCCTCAGCCTCTCCTCATAGGACTTGTGTTTTTGAGTCCCTTCCCCAACCTCGTTGCTCTTCTCTGGACCTGCTCCAGCCCCTCCATGTCCTTCCTGGACTGAGGGACCCAGAACTGGACACAGCACTCGAGGTGTGGCCTCACCAGTGCTGAGTCCAGGGGAAGAATCACTTCTCTGGACCTGTTGGCCACACTGTTCCTGATCCAGGCCAGGATGCCACTGGCCTTCTTGGCCACCTGGGCACACTGCTGGCTCATGTCTGCAGCTCACACCACAGCAGACAGGACACTCTGAAGGCAGTCTTTTGAAAACCAAAGATGACTTAGGAGAGCAGCAAAAGCCACGCAGCACCAGGTGCTGAGCCTGCTCCTGTTCAGGGTCTGGCAAAGGCAATGATAGGAACCACTTCAATTTCCTGCTCTACCCACAAGCTCTCCTGCCTGACCTTGGGCGAGGCAGTCATCCCTTCAATGCCTCACTTCTTTCTGAAATAGCAGCAATGTCTCACAGCGCCGTTATGAAAATAAATAGAGTTATGCAAACAGATCCCAAATGAACCATGTATCTATCACAGGAGAACAGACAAATGAGCACGCTCAGGAGCGCTAAAATTACAATAATCACCATGAAGTTAAGAACAACATTACTGACATTCTTGGTAAAGACTCCATTTATCTTGTGCAATCCATTATATTCTTAAATAATTTCACAGTATTTCAAACTCACATTTGAATATGATCAAGCTGTAGGGAGTAACCTGCCAGCAGGCAAAGAAACAAACTTATGTTAAATGTTGTTCTCTGACCCTAATTTTTATAGGTCCATGGAGAATGCTTTGTGGAAATGATTACTTTATTAGATGCCGTGTCCTGTCATTATTTCACCCAGAAAACTGCAAACCCTGCAGTGCATTACAAAGAACAGCCTAAGAACCTCTACTCAAAACTGTACTTGGTCTGCTCAGGGCTTGTTGGCAAATTCCAAACACACAAAATGACATGCACATGAATTAAAAAACAAGTCAGATCTTTAAATCAGGATTTGAAAAGCACTCTAGATGCATGCTTCATTTCGCAGACAGGCAAAACCATAATCAATTCAGAATGAGTCAATACATTACAGGCAAACAATTATGGATAGGAAAGCTCAGAAATGGTCTGATTCAAGCCCATCAAGCTCAAGATAGGTCTATTACATTATTGTGCAAAACATTATGGCATTTCTGGCTTTTCAGTCATCAGCTGCAATGTGCAGGGACAAGGAATGAATATTAGATTAAATTAAACTTCAAGTTTTAACCAAAATTTGGGTTGCATTTGGACTTAAAAAGTCTGATTCAGAGGCAGGTCTGGAATCTCTGCTTAATCCAAGCTTGTTTGCCTAAACTTTCAAGATCATTGGAAATAAAAGGAAAGGAACAGGTCTTAGAAAATAGAACCTCTTATTTAAGCAGCCTCTGACTCCCTTTAAATTTTGTCTAAAAATACGCAGTACAACTTTATCCTGTATATCCTTACTTAGGTGGACAATTGCACTGAAGTAAGATTACTTTTTTTTAAAGTATTTTACTCTCTAATTCTGTTGAACATGTAAAAGAAACAGCAACAACAAAAATCTTAATTCCACACCACTACATGAAAGAAAGAAAACCAGAATTAGGTCAGGGTAATAAAGTGCTATTGATGCACAGACAAAGTAACTGAAAAATACCTTGCTTTATGAATTCAAAAGCAAATATGCCTTTTTTATGACTACAAAACTACAATAATTAAAAAAAAAAAATCAAGACTGAGATAGAGACACACAAAGACAGAAAATAAAAAGGAAAGCTACAGTTCACTCTCCTAGGAGAAAGATGACCCTACCTTAAATAATTCAAACTCCTTCTTTGGCATCAACAGCTATCAATCCACAAAGGATATTTGCAATTAAAATAAATACATACAGATCCATTAGGATTCAAATTACCACCTCTAAGCAAATAATCAGGAAACAAACAAAGTAAAACATTTTGCTGTGTCTCTATCACATTTATTCTCAAGCTGGACTCTATGAAATACAGAAATCACCCAATGTTGTACAAGAAATGTACATTCTTTTTGACATATCAGTGGAACATGCAAGTATTTTAGCCTTGCTGTGAACCTCTTCCTCCTCCACATGCACACATTTGCACTTGAAAGGAAAGTTTTGCTCCCAGCAGGAGACAGTACCTGGATGGTGCGGGTATACACAGGCTCCGGCCATCCTTGACCACCTTCTTGACTCCTCAGAGGATCCAAAATATTGTTTGGCACAAAGCCTGTGCTGCCACTCCTGTTCTGAACCTTCCACCACTGCTTTCTGTCATCCAGAATCTGAAATAATTTGGTAAATTAATTACATATTTTTTTCTGACTTTCCTCCTGCCAGTACTTAGGCTGTGCATAATTTCAAAACAAAGCCATAACTTTGCCAGGTTCTGTGGTTGCCAACAGATCTTACAAAGATATGTCCCTAAGAAACCTCTGTAGCTTCCTTGATTATCATCACTATTAATTCTACATGGTTGTACTGCACTTTTCAAAACAGGCCTCTCAAGGAAGGACATGGAAGAGAAGTGTGTAATGAAGCTCTGTAAACACAGACATGTGATGGATCAGACACAGGGGAATGAAAATCAAGTACTTGCACAGAGAGGCTGGCACCTCTACAACCCATATGCTGGCAACAAGAGGATTAAATAATTATTAATAACCCAAGTAAAAAGGCATTGTTCTAGGAGAGGACAAATTTGGAGAGACAGCACTTCTGGGTAAACACGGAACTGGAGCAGGATGGTCAGGAAAAGCCAGAAATCTGACTGCCCACTGTACAATCTCATTCACAACATTTTCCTTCTTTGTTGCTCCCTTCCTTCCAAATGTATCTCACTTTCAGGGAATCAGCTCCTCTGTCCCTATACCCACTGCATACACAGATAGTGTTTGCCAGAGCCAGTTCTTTAAATACTACTAAAAGTTTAAAAGCAACACCAGAGACTATGTTAAAATATATTCCCAGCACGGATCTCTACAGCACCCTTCGCAAAAACGACGCAAAACAAATTAAACTGAATTTTCCATATTGAGGGACATAAATCAAACATATTGCAGCAAACATTAAGGACAGCCACACTGCCCACAGAAAAAGTACTCTCAGCTTTGAGTAGCACCAGAAATTTGTGTTCTCTCTGCAAACAAAATTACCTCTACGAT